CGGCATCCAGTTTTGGGCTTCCCAATTCAAAAAGGATGTGGAGAAGCTTGAGAGAGTCCAGAGAAGAGCCACGCGCACAATCAGGGGTCAGGAAAACAGACCTTATGATGAGAGGCTGAGAGCCATGGGGCTCTTTAGCCTGGAAAAGCGCAGGCTCAGGGGTGATCTGATGGCCACCTATAAGTTTATCAGGGGTGACCACCAGGATCTGGGGGAACGTCTGTTCACCAGAGCGCCCCAAGGGATGATGAGGTCTAACAGTTATAAACTACTGCGAGACCATTTCAGGCAGGATATAAAGAAGATTTTCTTCACTGTCCAAGCCCCCAAAGTCTGGAACAGCCAGCCTGTCATTGGAGGTGGTTCAAGCACCTACATTGAACACCTTCAAGAGAAATTTGGATGTTTATCTTGCCAGGATCCTATGACCCCAGCTGACTTCCTGCCCCTGGGGCAGGGGGCTGGACTCCATGATCTTCCGAGGTCCCTTCCAGCCTGAATGTCTGTGAAATCTGTGAAATAACAGCAGCGGCAGGTGCAGAAGGCGCAGCGGGGTGAGAGGCATGCCAGGTCTTGCCTGTGGGGCTACAGCGGCCCTGCTGGCGGGAAGCAGGGAGGGAGCTCAAGCCACAGCCTTTCCCCCACACAGATCTGGGGGTGTGGGTCCTCCCCTTCTCCCTGGGCATGCACCAGCCCTGCCCCTGCCTGAGTCAGCAGCAGGCAGCAGCAGCGGGGGAGCCGGCTCTGTGCTCCTGCTGCAGCTGGGGACAGGGAACTGTGGTCCTGGGTCCCTGGTCCCATACCCCTGGCAGCTGGGGGTCCCCTCCGGCGGGCCCCTTCCAGCAGGGCAAGGGGGCAGGGGCTGTGGGTGGGGGGCAAGGGGCACAAGCAGGGCTGGGGAGCTGTTGTGGGGGCAAAGAGGGGTACCAGCAGGGCTAGGGAAGCTGTGGGGAGAAGTAAGGGGCACTAGCAGGGCTGGGGTGGGGGCTGTGGATGGCCTTTAATTTTAATCACAGATTTTGGGGGTTTTATCAAAGAATTTGCAGTTTTTTTATCAAAGAATTTGCATTTTTTTATTGAGGAAAACCAGGATCCCTGCTAATCAGGTTGAATTGATGCCAGTGTCCAGATTGTAGGTGGCACCAGAATACTTTGTGTTGAGGTTTCGCATTGAAGAAAGAATTTGTAATGCATAGCTCATTGTATGAACATAGCCAAAGCAAAGTTCCATTTTCATTCATTTTTCTGACACCAGTGGTACCCAAACAGTGAGGCCAGGCAGCCTGTTCAGTGCCAACCCTTGCGTTGAAGTCTCCGAGCAGGAGGATTTTTTCATTAGGCAAAATATTATTGATTAAGGCACTAAGCTCATCCTAGAAGTAGTCATTTGATTCGGATGAAGTGGTAGGAGTTGCAATGTATGCACATAAGAGATTGACAGGACCAGAGACAATAGTGAGTCGAAGCACCATTAAGCTTTGTTTGGGGCTTCTATTGCAAACAGCAGCTTATTGTTGACTGCAAAGCCAATACTATGTTCTGTGATTTCTTCGGGCTCTGTTACCACACCAGAAAAAGATGTAGTTCTTCTCTTTTGGGCAGCCAGTGCCTGGTAGTCTGGTCTCTTGTAGAGCGACAATATTGACATTCAGTCCCAGCAGTTCTGCATCAATGATTGCAGTTTTGGTGGGGGGTGTCAATGGTTTGGAGGTCAGCAGATAGACCTGGGGTCATTGTACATACATTCCAATTTCCAATCTTTAGGATTGAAAGTTTTTCCTTACATTTTTTGTAGTAGATAGCGGTGTGCGATAACAGTCTGCTTTCAAGTTGAATCTCTAATCTCCAAGCACCCACTGACACAGCAGACTGTGGTGGGAAAATACCTTAGTGGCTGGGGACTGCCCAACTCGAAGCACATGGTAGCTTTCCAATGCAGTGTGATGACCTCTCCCAGTGTTGGAGAAAACCCCTGATGCCTGGATCTACCCCAGTTGATCTATGGCTCATAACTGGTAATTGTTGACTCCCATTTGTTTCAACAGTAACCTCTCCAGGGTGCAAAAGTCTGGGCATTTGCTAGTTATTCAAGAGTTGCTCAAGCATCAGCATCACCCTTTCAACTTTGCTGACTTATCAAGTGAGAAGGTAGAACAAATACGATGTGGGACCAGAAAAGTTGTAGGAGCTGCCAGCAAGAAGACTAAATAATCATCTAACTTCCTTAGCGGCAGATTTTCCACTCCAGATTTTCTTTAAGGGTCTAATCCTTTTGCTACTCCCTGCTCCCTTGCTGTCATCTTTGTCTACCAGTTTTGCTATTGCGATATAGCTTCTTCTGCCACAGCTGCCTTTGTGATGATCAGAGGACAGCTAGCTGGAATCTGACTAACGGCTCGTGCGTCCCTGGTCATGTAGCGCGGGAAGGCAGCAACGTATCATCGCCTGTTGCCACCTGTGGCTGCTATCAAGGGCCTGGGCATCCCCCCGCCCTGAGCAAGACGCAGCAGCTGAGCAAGCTGGGTGCACTTAGGTGTCTGGCTCAGGCACTACCCACCGCCCGGGGCCACCCTGCTCTTCCCCCTGCCCCATCTCCCTGCAGGGCAGCCTTGCCATGCTGGGCCCAGGCTGGCAGAGGCACTCACGTTGTCGTGGCTGAGCATGACGCCCTTGGGCGTGCCCGTGGTGCCCGAGGTGTAGATGAGGGTGCAGCAGTGGTTCACGCACTGGGAGCAGATGATGGAGTCCAGCTGCGAGTCGGGCATGGTCCTCCCCAGCTCCATGAACTCCTCCCACTGCCAGGGGATGGGTCAGCGGGTCAGCCAGGATCAGGGCCATGGTGGGGGAGGGGTGGAAAGGAGCAGCTGCCCCCTGCCCGTTGGTGCTGCTGTACGGGTGCTGCAGGGGGGGCAGGGGAAAGGGGCCAGGGTCCCCCTAGGCTGACAGCAAAGGGGCCCCCAGAGGACGAGCCGTTGGAGAGGCCACGCCAGCACCCCAGCAGGCTGTGCTGGGCAGGGCAAGGCTGCAGGACTGGGGGGACGCTGGTCTGTGGTGTGCAGGGCCACAGGTGCTGAGGGTGGTGCAGGGTGCTGTGTAGTGGACACACAGGAACACAGGTCCATGGGAGGTGGGCTTGCCCCCAACCCTAATCACTGTGACAGGCCCGTACCGTGTACATGTTGGGTCTCTTCTCCTCCAGCGGGTCGCAGTACTGGACGATGGCCTTGAGGTGGGGCAGCTGCTGCTGCACCTGTGGGGACACGGCGATCAGTGTGACTGCCACAGGGGGAGGAGAGCCCCCCACCCAGACACCCCCAACCCAGTGCCCTGTGCCCCATTGGGTCTGCCTCCCCAGGCCCCCAGGTAAGGGAAGGGTACATGGGGGTAGCTAAGATCCTGCAGTGGTTGTAAGGGTGACACTGAGGGCAGCTGGCAGCCCAGGGCAGGCGTGGCTGTGCCACAGGGCTGAGGGGAGGGGCAGGGGACAGGGCACCATGGGGAAGGGGACAGCGAGGACACCAGGGAGATGAGCCTGGTGGGGCTGGGGGCAGGGGGCTGGGGTCCAGGAGCCGGGGAGGACTGTGCATGGGGGAGCAGGGCACACGAACCCCTTGGGGTGAGAAGGGCAGGGAGGTGCATCCCTGTGGGATTAGCGGGGCAGGGAGGCAGGAACGCCCTTGGGAGGGGATGCTGCCGTCACCTGCAGGATCTTGCTGAGCTGCGTGTTGTCCTCCACCACCACCACGTTGGCTGCGCAGTTGGCGGCGATGTAGCCCC